CAAATCTCGGAGGCAACCTTTCGTAGGTGGAACCCGTTTCGATCCCACATCGCGGCAGCTATCGTTGGAGGAATTGGTAAGACTCCGGAATGGAAAGGCCAGCGACTGTTTGCTGTTAACATGTCCGCTGTCGAGCTGTCCTTTGTGGCAGACTTGGTGGGTGAAGGAGGCGCTGTGATATATTCACCAGAGCTCGATGTTGAATGCGCCAGGAAGCTCCAGGAACACTGGCCACAGACGCAATGCCTCGCAGAAGGCTCTAGCCCAGAGAGATTTCATTCAATGTTGCTTCGGGGAAGTGTGGAGCTCCATCAAGCTCTTCTGGACCGGATGAAGTCGCTCCTCCTTCCAGGTGCTGTGGTGATGTGGGCTGTTGAAGAGGACGGGAAAGAGGTAGTGCCCGAAGCGGAGTTCGCCAGAACGGTGGCGAGCATCCGGCAGTCCGGCCTGAAGCCTCTGGAGCAGCTAACGCTGGAGCCCTACTTCGAGAGGTCTGCCATGATCGTTGCCACCACGGGCCGAATCTGGCCAGAGGCCTGATGGCTCAGAGCTCATGCTGAGACATGCAAAAAGAAAGGATCTTATTTCGGGTCTTTGGGCCATGGAAGCCTGTGCATGCTTCGCCTGCTTCAGGTTGTGCAGGCCCAGCAGGCCCGGGGCTGTGCAATCACGCGCATCGGACTCCCCAAAGGCACAAAGGTGCCGCCTGAGTCGCCCCGGCAGATCCCATTCATAATCGAACTTAGAAGCTGTGCCACCCTGTCGTTCATTGAGACGGTTGTGGTATGTTGTGCTCGAAGGAGTTGCATCAGGCCACTGCCTTCAAGACCTGATCGGTAGATTGACGCTGGCGGGAACGATTTGCCAGACTTGGCGATCCTTGTGATGAGACTCATGAGATTTTGTTTCTGAGCCTGATACGAGGCCCTTACAGCTGCGGCCAGATCCTCGGTGAGAGGAAAGGTGAGCACAGCTTGTAGAAAGATGTGGTCTTCCCTGCCCCTCAGGGCTTCATATCTGACGCTTTAACGGTACAGCACTTCAAAGCCGCGCTCATATCCTTCTCAAACTTCGATCTTTTCGCTAGCATAGAGCTGAACACTGGAGAGGTCCCAGCTTGTCGCTGTTGGAATCTGGTCCGAAACCCAAGCCATAGGATGATATAATATTTTCTAACATGGTGTGGTTTTTTAACTATACCATAACATAGGGGCCGTAGTAATATCAAGGTGGAGGGAATCCTCCGTTCCCTCGAAGATGTCGCCCCGGAGGACCCGAGCCAAGCATTCTGTCGCCCTGCGATGTAAAGTTTTCCAAGCTCGTGGCAACATCTGCTTACTGTGCTCCTGTGTGAGTTCTACACAGCTTCCGTAGGCTTGGATGCATCTTTGTTACTTTTCTGGGGCAAGGGGTGCTGGCTAAGCTGAGAGAATCTGCCTCTATTGATTGCTTCGTGATATGAGTACGGATCGCATTCCGGTCCTTAGTTGTTTGCAATCAGCATGGTAGGGTTTAGGATCATCGCCTTGCAGTTCCTAAGCATCTATACTAGGAGATGCCAGCAAAACAGCCCTGGTCTAAGTACTGAGGCGCCTTCACTCTGAACACTCAAACTCCCGAACTCCCCAAGATGACGAGCCAGCTATTGGAGTCCTAGCAAAACACACAGAAAACCCTAAACCCTAAACCCTAAGCCGTTACTGCGGAACCCGAAACCTTCAGCCCCAAAACCCTGAGGCCCCAATAAAAACTTGCAAAGCACCCTATAACCCTAAAAACCCAAACCCTAAAAACCTTAAAAGCCCTAAAAACATCTAAACACCCTAAAAACCTTATAACCCTAAACCCTATAACCCTAAACCTTAAACCCTAAACCCTATACTAGGCCCTATACCCTAAACCCAAAGCGCCGCCCTGGAAGATCTGCTTTTGCGGCCGGGCGCCTGCTTGGAGGTGGGGGAGTCTTCGCCTTCCTAGCCAACATAGGGCTTAGGGCTTAGGAACAGAGCCAACATAGGGTTTAGGATTTAGGGGTT